TGCAAAATTTTAATGAAAAAGATGAAATTCTGTGCAGCGGTTTAAGATGAGTTGCGCTGATAAAGAAAAACAGGACTGACACTCTGACTGACGGACGGGTAAAAAACATACCTCACGCAACTTGTTGCGTGGGGTATAAATCTCCCCTAAAAAAAACGCAAATATATTGCCACTTGTATTAAATTATATTAGGGATGTTTAAAATTGCAATACAAAGCAGAAGATATACTTAAGCCATTGCTGTGTTTTAACACTTATGAAGCAAAATATGTATTTCTGGCCTCCACCTTGTGTGTAGTGAGGCTGAAGTATGATCACTTCACATTGTGCTGAATTATTGCCTATCCATTATCATAATATCCAGAAGTGGTCTTCTTTGTTATTTCATTCAAGACCTGATTATCATTGAGTAACCGAATTCACATGTTGGTTACAATACGCCACGTGAAAATCATATTGAAAAAAGAAAAGAATTTATATATATATACCTTTATATGCCACGTGAAAATCATTTAATGGCATTCACTCTCTCGATCTGATCTTTCATTAAAGAAAGAAGGGGACAACAAACAAGAACGACCCCAGTGCGGCCGTTTTTACTCTGTACCAAGGGAAGAAGTTGATAAGGTAGTGATTTACCGAATCCAGTTGGTAAAACTGCCATGCAATCCTAGCTATCAAGCAGTTTCTGAAAAATTTCTAGCTGTTGAGGCTTCAACTGTATATTTAGCGAATTCGCAACTTTCTCTATAGGCGCATCCATTTTTTAATACCGAGCGATAAGCCTATAACAAACACTTTTTCACTGGTCGATCGTTGACGTCATTGGTTATTTTTCATTGGTTAACTGATTTGTATCTAAGGTAATCCTCGGTGACCTCGGACGGGGAGTTGTTAGATCCTTACAGCGACATAACAGAAAGAAGCGTAAAGGATATAATATTAATTAGATTGAGGAATATCTCGTTTTCATTTAATACGGTGGCTTTCCACTTCTTGTTGTATCTCCAAATTTGTTCATACTGTTGGAAATAGTATTCCCCAATTATAAATTAATTGACTAAATGTATTGCAATACAAGTTGTTTTAATAGTCGACATCGCTTTTTCTGTCAAATTTTGAAAAATACTTCCTGGTCCGCCGTTATAAAATTTGAGAATTCTCATAAAAATTCTCAACTGAAGTCTTGAGAATTACTCACCTGAGAATTTCACAATAAAGCAGAGTTTAAGGAATTTTATTTTTCTCAACTTTTACTCAGTTGCCGTCATAAAAAAGTTGAGAAAAATAAAATTCCTTAAACTCTGCTTTATTGTGAAATTCTCAGGTGAGTAATTCTCAAGACTTCAGTTGAGAATTTTTAGGTCTGTGGTCTTTCGGTGACCTTAATTGACCAAGATTTTAAGCTCTACTGGTCAGAGACCAGAAGAGCTTATGCGATAGTAATGCGTCTGTCCGTCTGTCTGTTTGTCTTTAAACAATTTTTCAAAATGCTACTCCTCCTATAGTTTTGGTCTGATTTCAATATAACGGCACGTAAGTAGACTACACCAAGATACATTATTCTGTGTATCGGTTTTTGATTTCGGTGAAAGTTGTTGCCGTGGTTACTAAAAATAGAAATCTCTGTGAAATTCTTTCATAATGCTACTCCTCCTGCAGTTTTGGTCTTATTTTAAAATAACTTGGCACACAAGTAGACTATACCAAAATACATAATTCTGTGTATCGGTTTTTGATTTCAATGAATGGTGTTGCCGTGGTTACTTAATACAGAAATTTCTGTAAAATTCTTTCAAAATGCTACTCCTCCTACAGTTAAAGTCTGATTTCAATATAACTTGGCACACAAGTAGATTACATCATGATACATAATCGTGATTCTCTGTATCGGTTTTTGATTTCGATAAACGGTGTTGCCGTGGTTACTAAAAATAGAAATATGTGAAATTCTTTCAAAATGCTACTCCTCCTATAGTTTTGGTCTGATTTCAATATAACATGGCACATATGTATACAACACCAAGATACATTATTCTGTTTATCGGTTTTTGATTTCGATGAACGGTGTTGCCGTGGTTACTAAAAATAGAAATTTCTATGAAATTCTTTCAAATTGCTATTCCTCCTATACTGTTTTGGTCTGATTTCAATATAACTTGGCACACAAGTAGCCTACAATAAGATACATAATTCTGTTTATCGGTTTTTGATTTCGATGAACGGTGTCGCTGTGGTTACTAAAAATAGAAATTTGTGAAATTCTTTCGAAATGCTACACCTCCTACAGTTTTGGTCTTATTTCAATAAAAAATTGGCACACAAGTAGACTACACTAAGGTACATAATTCTGTTTATCCTGCAACTACCCCTTGCATTGACCTGATAAAGGTAACCTAATAAACCAAAGCTTTATCCAGTCACTGCCCTAAGAAAGCCTCGTGCATGTATTCCGACGTTCTAAAAGTATTGTGACGTCATGCATATTGCAATGTTTACGCCATGGCGTCATAGTTTCAACTGCAGAGATGTGCCTTAATCTGTCGAAAATAGCTACTTTTTGACGTTCAAATGTAAAGAATATGTTGCAGGATAAACAAAATACATGATAACTGTCTTGAAATATAAGTGATATTTGGGCTCGGGTCGAAAACGTAAGAGGGCTCGGCAAGCCTCGCCCTCTATCACGTTTTCTTAACCCTCACCCAAATATCGCTTATATTTCGAGACAGTAACCATGTATTTTATATGTATCAGTTTTTCACTTCAATGAACAGTGTTGTCACGGTTACTAAAAATAGAAATTTCTGTTAAATACTCTAAATATGCTACTCCAAATACAGTTTTAGTCTGATTATCGGCCGCAGCAGCGGCCGATCTATTTGTGATTGTGTTAGGAAGTGAACATGGGGAAATGAGACGTTATTATTTTTTTTTACTTCAATAAAATAATTCGTAAATAATAACAAGTAAAAATCATGAGTAAAATATTTTAAAAACTTGCTTAAACTAAGTATTAAATTTTGTTTTCATATTTCAATTTCATAAGCATTTCTCGTCAGATTATTGATAATTTATGGTTATAATAAAAGAGTTTACATTAGATACTCCCCAGCCTGGGAATGTGTAAGATATGAAAAGAAATCGTCATGATTTTCCGGATAATGATGATATGATTCAAGTGCATGGTGAATAAAAATTGAGGAGTTTTTCAACTACTATTAAATAAAATTGTTTTGAATTTGCTCTACATCTACAAACGACACAAAGATATTTTTTGACATTTTACACCGCGGCTTGCAGCATAGCCTACTCTGCAGAAACCATAGGCATTATCACGTGATCAAGATCCAGGGCATCAAAGCTCGGGTAGCAGCACGTGGCTCATCTTGACAATCCTACATCTTCGTAATGAACATAATTTTTTTTTACATCGATAAATCTATTTATGAACAAATGCGGTAAAATGTCTATTTATTTCATTCTTTAAAATTATTTTTTTTTTTTTTTGCTTTGAAGACATATGAAATGAAAAAAAAAATATTCAACTATTTCACCTTTGAATATCTTGACGTGCTTTCCTTGCATGTAAAAGATTATTTTTAATGTAAAATTTGTTTGCGTCCGATTTGATGCTTTGCATCAATTTAACTTGTAAAATTACGTGGCATGCAAGTAGACTACACTAAGAACATAAAGAGACTTAATCAAGGATCATTATTCTATTTATTGCTGTCGAAAAGTTTCAATTCTCAACTGCTTAAGTATTTTTCCTTTGCTATAAGTACAAACCAGTAGAGCTTCAGTCTCGACAGAAACTTCTGGTTATTTTAAAAAATTGCTACAATCAAACGATTAAAACCATGTTCTTCTGGCTTGAATTTTCTTATTCTTTCATATTTTGGTATACAATTCGAGGGGTGATCAAAAAGTTCGCGAACTATCTCTATAATTACAAGACCACAATACAGATCAGAATGAAATTTGGCACACATAAAGTCATACAAATGCTCTTTAAATAGCATATGTAATGGAACGTTTTTCCCCGTGTTTGTGACGTCACAATGTGAAAATGACGTTATAATGTAGATCACTTGTGACAAAAAATGGTTGACTCAGTCGTATTCGAGAAACTAACGGCTGTAAAGCTAAATGTATATCTTGGAAATTCCTTTGTAGAAGTTTATAATAATTTGTATATGGGTTATGAAGACAAAAGACTTACCAGACGTTTGTCAGTAATTGGATTGAATGTTTTACTGAAGGAAGGGAGGTGCTTAAAATGTTTGTTCTGTTGCCCAGTGAAAGCAAACTGGTAGAGAGACGTGTCTTTTATTAAGTAATTTGATATGAAAGATCGCCAACTTACAGTTAGAAAAATAGATGGATATCTTGACAATAATATAATTATCAAATACCTAAAATCGTTTATTTTAGACTTTAGACAAATCAGATATGATAAAGTGAAGGCACCCATACTTCATCAACGACGCTAAAAAGGCAGAGGACTTGGGTTTTGATGGTCACCATGCTCATTCTGCAAAAGGATATCATTATCCACCCAAACAATTGCCAAGATTAGGCCATTTCTGATAAATGGACTGTTTTTGTTGGGAAAAAAACCTGCATGGTAAGAAATACAAGAGTCGGAAAAAATTTTAAGCTTCTGTGACTGAACGCTAAGGAGCATGTCACGTGACCGCCTATATCACGTTATCCGCGCATGGGCATAATGGTTGCAGATGCGCATTAAAATCGGAGATGACTACTTTGAAACATTTTCAACACTGTAATCCTATATCATTTCTCTTTTGGAAGTTATTCAATTAGTTCGGGAACTTTTTGATCACCCCTCGTAAGTAGATCTTGAACCATTCATATTGACAATAACCACCGCTCACAATTTTTTTGGACAATCCTCGTATATTTATAATAATATCGACCAAAATGACTAAAAATCCTCAGATTTAATATTTATTGTTAAGAAACCAGTCATTGACTTGGTTTATTATTTACATGGCCCATACTCGCCTCTAATTTCATCAATTCCTGCGAATCCACTCTCGCCAACCTTAACTACAATATTCTGAAATATAGAAGAAATTCATATATGTTTTATTTTCCAAACACTGAAGAAATTAGCATCTGAATATGTATTACATTACTCTAAACATTTGATCATTGATAATAAATAAAGACTTAAAGAGCCGTTCTTTGTGTACCCTAGTCAGCTTCAATATTGGGGTCCAGGCACGTATAGACATCGATTGGACATGCATAGTCACATAATACATGTATAGGAGTCAAGGCATGTAAAATCACGAGAACCTGGGAAAAATCATGGCAAAAAAAAAATAGAAAAGGGGCCATGTCAAGCACAGCCTCTATATTTATTATGCATCTCTCATTGGTATTTCTTTTCGGATAGTTCTAGACAAACTGCCGTGCAATCATATTGCAGGAGGCTAAGATAGAAAAGGTAGTCCTCCATATTGTCTACTGCTAGCCCAGTCCTAGCTTTTCAAATCTCTAGTCACTACGCGTTCATACCAGAGGAAGTACATTTATACGTAAATGTTAACCTGCAGTTTTCACAGAGATCTGTATAGTAAATAAATTATACACATTGTATAATAGTTTATGAACTGTAGATGTAGCAATTCTTATCAACAGAGAGTTCAAATTTGACTTCAGTTGCTTGTAAAATAAGGTTTTTCATGTTCTACATGTTTAAGTACCCGGTATTTCATGGTTCTATGCTTTAATTTAACTCCGCCCAGCAACCAATCATATTTGAGATGGGTGGGCAATAAGCGAATCCAGTGCTTATCGCAGATTGAAATTATGAGCGAAAAGAAGCAGTTACCTAAAATTTATATTATTTAGTATGGAAGGAAATGGTGTCTTTTTTCGTGTTCAAATATCATAATTTGTAAGTTTGTAAATCCAAATTAGTAATCGTATAAGTAACAAGGTGTACATATGTTAGTACATGTAGGTAAATTCGACATCTTAACTGGTGCTTCTGAACTGTCAACTAACAACTGAACTCATCTAATTACGTCATAAAGGCATTAATAAAATAAATCCCCAATTTTTAGGCCATTCCAACAAGTGAACTAGAGGTACTGTGAGCAAAGATCTAACTAAATAACACCCCCTCCTCCCGTGTGAATATAATGGAATTGTCCACTTTGGGTATGGGAAAGCCATAATATTTGTACATGGGAAAGCCATAATACGGATACATGTATCTATCTTTTACAAAATCTCTTGCTCTCTCTACAGGGGTAGAAACTCCCTAAAATTACATCTCGCAAATAATTGCGAGTTCCAAAAATATTAACTCGCAATTTCAAAAGACAACTCGCAATTTTATAATAATAATAATAATAATAATTGGATTTATATAGCGCTTTTCTAGCATAAATGCTACTCAAAGCGCTTTACAATCATTATTACCCCAGCAGACCTTAACGATCCAGAATCTTTCTCAGTGCAAGCTGCCGTTATCAGCGCTAGAACACTAACATTCTGACAATTTCTTTCACTGTCTATAGCCAGGTACCCCTTTTACACTTGGGTGTAGCTTTCTAGAAATAAATCACCATCCATCCATTTTAAAAATAAAAATTCAAAGTTTTTTGCATGAGGGTTAAAAAAAAATTATGTTTGTTTCCTGTAACATTCCCCAATAAAGTGCTGCGCCACAGCATGATACGCCCGTCAAAAAATTACAATTTTCTTGAACAGTGTCGGTGCAAGAAAATCACATCAACTTTGATTCTAAGATTTCGATGATTTTTCCATTCCTTAAAATATTTATCCATCCCCTGTGATGTAGGCATCAATTATAATAAATATTACATCACTGATAGATTTCTGTGCTGGTTGTGTTAGACCTTGTCAAATGCGCATCATCAAATTAGTCTTAACAACTTAATCTATACCAAATTAATTTTGAAAAGAAAAGGCTGGCCATCAAATGACATGTTATAAACTGACCAGCAGTTCTTCTGTCTAATCCCCAAAGGGTACAGATAAGTCACTGCTTAATCAGAGCGACTGAGACAGCTAGCCTTCCTACATTGAACTCATTAATTAATCTTTAACAGGATGCTTGTCTACTCATTACTACCAAGAGATGAATGGGTCTGCACTATCTACTATAAATTTAATAAAATACTCAAAGTTTGTTTTTTTTTGGTTGAGATTTAATGTCCGACAGGTTTAATATGTAATTCATATGGACATGCTGATTCCACCCCACCCCCAAAAAATAGTTTTTAAATTAATAATATCAGATTAGTCTATTATGCAATATCAAATTAGTTTTAATTACTTTTCATCAAATTCATTTTAAAACTTAAGCTAGTCAACAAGAGCTATTTTTAATCAAACATGCTTACCCATTTGCCCAATACTCAAGGGATATAGATAACACCAATGCTAGCTCCTCGCACTCAAAACCCATTAATTTCTCTCTAATTTGACATGCAATTTTCCGTTATCAAAATTATTCTTGACCAGTGCTTGATAATTACACTCATGGGAGAGGCAGGATTTCTCTGACATACATTATATTTGTTATAGATTGCTGTCAAGTATATGCTTAAAAAAATAAGTATTTTCTTGATTTAACACTTTTTTTTAATAAGAACAGTGCAATACTCTTACATTATTTGGGATGTGTAAATGAATAGTAAAAAGACACATTTTTTTTTAAAATTCACTTAAATTTAAGGTCACAGTGACCTTGAAATAGGTCGCGACACACCTTCTACCTAATTAAGATGCATAAACTGGCCAAGTTTGATGATTGTAGGTCTTATGGTTTTCTAGTTATGGGCCGGAAAGGATTTTTCCATATTTGGCCATAACTTCTTAAATAAAGGTCAGAGCGACCTACTTTTTGTGCGCGACACACCTTCTACCCAAGATGCATCAGATGACAAAGTTTGATAATCCTAGGCCTAGTAGTATTAAAGTTATGAGCCGGAAACGAAAAAGCTAACAGACAGACGGACGGACACGAAGCCTATAACATAATACGTCCCGTCTTAAGACGGGCGTATAAAAATCATTGTTCAGAGGGCCAAGAATTTTTTCCCCTATGATTAATAGAGCCAAACATCCCCGGACTGAATAAACCAGGTGTTATATTTACAGTGGACACCTAACATGGCAACCAACATGACTGCCTAGCCGCAAAAAACGAACTTCAAAAGTTGTGGGGGGAAATTGTTGTTACAATAATACATTATGATTACTCTTTATATCTAAGGTAAATGTTAACTAGGTTGACATATTTTATATCTCAAGTTAAGCTAAAGTTAATTTTTTTTTAATAAATGGATTTCAAATCAGCTGATTGATCAAACCACGCAGATTGGGAGAAAAAAAATCCAACTAGAGGTAATATGAATAGATCGGTCGTTTTTTTAGGCCTGGTTGTCGGACATGGATTTAAAAATGCTGGATGTCAGATGAATTTATCCCTTGGTGAAATTTACAGTGAAAAAAATCAGCTCGCAAAAATTTGCGAGTTACAAATTTTTTAACTCGCAATTTGGAAATTCTAACTCGCATTTTGCGAGTTGTATATAGTGAATTTCGAACCCTGCTCTATATTGTTTTAGGGTAACGTGTGAAGAGGAATAACTCGTAGTGTCCCATCTTATTCAGAAGCCACCACACCTCATGTCATAAGTAAGAATATAATGACATTGTCCATGTTTTGATATCGGAAACCAAAATATGTATTTGATAAGAGTGATTAGAAGAGGAGTTGCGACTAAGGGATAGATACCCAAAAGCGTAACAGATGGAAGGACGTACAGTTACACGGACGGATATCCCGATTTACTATGCACCCTCCCGCTTTTCAAGGGGGTGCTATAAAAATCCGAGCTTCCAAAAACACCAAAGAAATTACGACTGTAATAGAAAATACTTACGAACAGTCCACCATTCATTCCGAAAAAAGTGGCCCTGTGAGGAGTCCATATATCCCGCATGAAAGGTTGTTTATAGGAAGCCCAGAGTACCCTTTTCTGAATGATGTATTCTGGTCGTGTACTCCAGTTCGTAAGCCTGCTGCGAGTGGTATAAATCTCGATTGAAGGATCAGGACCAGATAGCCAGTACGAAAAGCTCAAACAGAATTCCCTTCCTTAAAAATTAAAAATATTTCTTATAAAAATAGTGGAAATTGTTGCAAACAATGGAAGAGGCGTTGAAGACCATTTTTGTGATACAGTAGGCATAATTAGAGGAAAATGACATTTTAAAAAAATACCATCTGCACCAAGGTACTTATTCATCATATGTAGAGTCTCCGTCGGTCCTACTTGGGCGTATTTTTCTTTATTAATAGCACCTCCTCCCTGACATTGAAACAAAAATGGAAATACTCAATTATAAATGCCTGCTATGACCACTGAACGGTAAGAAAGGTTTAATGCGACAGGGGATCTAGGTTTCAGGAACCCAGCTCTCTCAATGTTTCGCAGAGAAGTGACACCTGCGTTGTGAAGACCAACTCCTTTATCCGCGATTACAAAGGGAACACAAAATACAGCTTAATTACACATCCGTGGACATAAGTAGGAAAATACGACAATATACGTGTTTTTTTTACGTTTAAAACAAAAATACAATAATATGCGTGGCTTTTACACGTTTAAAACGAAATGTTTTATTGAAAATGATTTGTTCTATTCACAGGCCTTTGGATCGCTTAATAATTGTGTGTGTAAAGAAAAGGTAAAGGTATGGAACTCTTACACTGGATACAAAATTTCCCTACTGAAATATTTTATAATCCAATGCTCTATAATTCTTTTTATGCGCCCGAATTTTTTCGGGGCGCATATTGTTTTTGTCCTGTCTGTTTGTCTGTTTGTCTGTTTATCTGTTTGTGTGTCAACTTTAACCTTCGCCAAAACTTTTAAACCGTAAGAGATAGAGACTTCATATTTGGTATGCATACTCTACTAATAAAGACCTTTCAAATGACACCAAAATCAATGACCTTGTGACCTTGTCTGTGACCTATATGCTAAAAATAGCTTTTTCCACTGTCTGTCATAACTTTTTAACAATAAGAGATAGGGACTTCATATTTGATATGCATACTCCACTAATAAAGTCCTTTCAAACGTCGACAAGGTCAATGATCTTGTGACCTTGACTGTGACCTATATGCTAAAAATAGCTTTTTACACTTTTTGCCATAACTTTTGAACAATAAGAGATAGGGACTTCATATTTGGTATGCATACTCCACTAATAAAGTCCTTTCAAATGACACCAAGGTCAATGACCTTTTGACCTTGTCTGTGACCTATATGCTAAAAATAGCTTTTTCCACTGTTTGTCATTACTTTTTAACCATAGGAGATAGGGACTTCATATTTGATATGCATACTCCACTAATAAAGTCTTTTCAAACGGCGACAAGGTCAATGATCTTGTGACCTTGACTGTGACCTATATGCTAAAAATAGCTTTTTACACTTTTTGCCATAACTTTTGAACCATAGGAGACAGGGACTTCATATTTGGGATGCATACTCCACCGATTAAGTGCTTTCAAATGACACCATGGTCAATGACCTTGTGACCTTGACTGTGACCAATATGCTAAAAATAGATTTTTTGAACTTTGTTGCAGCCGGGCGCATAGTGTTTCACAAACACATCTTGTTTCTATTCAAATCTATTCATAGATAAACAATGTTCATTTATACCAAAGCTCATTCCAAAATTCCGTATACTTCTCGAGATATTCTGATATTAATTCCAAATATAACCTACTTTTTTACTCGACATTAGTTTGGGCCCCAGGTCATTCAAATATAAACAGACGGTGTTTGAAGTGCAGCGAAGAGTTGCATAGTATATGCAAAATCTTTCAACATTTTAAAGTTGATTTCTTACTCCAGATTGTAAGGTTAAGTCTGTATTAATACTTTGAAAACGTCTATATACACAACTGCACCGCCATGTTAATTTATGAATGTAAATGAAGTTATGGTTGAACGAATTTTTCCCGGAATGTATAATGAGCCTTTCGATTTTAAACCAATTAGACCTCTAAAATGTTGTTTGTAACTTGGTAACTTCATATGATCAAATTAGAGAAAGTCTTGTAAAGCTCGAATGCAAATGAGTTAATATGCATTGAGTATAAAATAAATTCCGGGGAAATTTTGTCCCGTCAATCCCGCTTAACAATTGAGTATAGCTCTTCAAAGGCCCAAGCTGATGTCGAGTAAAAACATTTAGGTCAATTTTGGAATTGATTTCACAATATCTCGAGAAGTATATGGAATTACGGGATGAACTTTGGTAGTAATGAAGATTGTTTATATATAAATAGATATGGGTAGAAAGTAAAATTGTAAAGCATTTGATGTAAAAGAATTTTATTGGCGAAAGTAGGTACCCTAGGAAAGAGTTCCATACCTTTTTTTAAAATTTGTTTTACACCTCATTTTTTTTTTTTTACTTTGTGTTATAAATACCTGAGCAGGGCGGCCTGTATAACAATACATTTAACTGAGCAAAAATACAGTAAAACCTGCGTAATCCGACACCCGTGCAAGCCGTCGTACTGTAAATATCTGACAAAAAATCTTTTACGGCATTGTATTTAATATATGAAGCACAGAAACTGCATTACTTGAGTAATTTCTTTTAATAATTCATTATTTAGAATTGATGATATAATCCTATGATAATTTTATTCTTTTGTATTAAAAAGCTAGACCCGAGTTCATATTATCTAAACATGTTACCAACTGATCGTAGGTAATACTCTGTAAATTTCGTTGTGTAAGTCCTTACTTGCCAATTGATGCTTTAAGAATTTATAGTACTGATAATCAGAGAGACATTGTGACCTTAGCAATAATAATGAACTTGATGATCCTATTCCTCGTGGGATGTTCCTTAAAACATTTGAAAGAACCATAGCTGCCTTACCGACGATTCGGCCTACTCAAGTATTTAAAAGGAAAACACTTGTTTCTATTTATAGATACATGTACCTTTTCAATTCAAAATCAAACTACATGTATGTAATCATTTTTGGACCCTTGTTATATTTTCATAGTTGCAAGTTTGTTACATGACAATATTTTACTTGTTCAAAACTCTTATTTTAAACAAGATTGTCAGAAAATTTTTAAAATAAAACAAGCTAGCAGCTACCGGTTTCAAGACTTTGGGTCATTAGAATAGTTAAAGACTGTTTTTTCCCGAGATACTTTCAAGGTGTAATGTTGTATTATATTTCTCTTACATGATTTATACATGTATTATAAAATCATAAAATCATAAAAGAAAACAAAGGAAAAATGCACAGAGAAAAAAAAAATAAAATCGTAGACAAGAAACACGCACTGTGAGACTCGAACTCACGATCATTATAACTTCAATCCAGCAATCATACCACTACGCCACGAAGTCGTTGGAGTTTGATGGATAAATTTAAGACAGATTGTAAATTCTTTAAATAATTTTAGAAGAAAAATTAAATACAAATTTTCAATATGAAGACCACCTTTAACCAAAATTATCTAAATGTAATGAAGTACAGTCGTATCAAAATAAAATTATTCAGAAGTTGTTTTACTGGTTAAGCGTGGTCTTTTGCTAGTTTGTCATTGTTTATGGCGGTACCTCACTATTTATTATATTCTCCATATAAACTGAACGATTTTTATATCTATCATATAAGCGAATTATTAATATTTTGATATTATTTTTGTGTGATTTGCGGCATGTATAAACTAACATTGTATTACACAATTTTGGTTAAACAATATATTTTAAAAATTACTACTTGAGTAGGCGAAAGTGACTATCAAATGCGCTATGGCTCTTTATCTAAAAACGTAACATTAATTCTGTATAAAATTTATAAGAACAGCATATTGCATAAATATCGCGCAGAAAAAACTTTTATGAAAGATAACAAAAATGTGATTTTCACTTGTTTGCATGGTATCAGCACATGTAAGGATATTGATATATTTCTTTTTTCTTTTTACCTGAAATTCATGTTTTTTCTCGTTTTATTAGTGTCGAAAGGTTACTTAATTCCTTATTTCTTCAAAAGCAATACCACTGTAAGGACTCCATAAATATATAAACTTGTTTTAGGATTGTTTGTAAACTTTTTACATCCAATTTTATCATTTTTTAATATTGATTACATTTGAAACACAATAGGAAAAAAAAAATGTTCGTCTTCCATAAAATATTTGACCCGTGATAATTATCTGCATACCTTATCATGTGAACTACTTTTTCCTGTGAACAGCTTAAAGCAATGCAAGCTGTATATTTTAAACATTAAATTTCGCTGTTAAAATGTTTTATTATGATAAATTTGTATGTAACTTAAACCTTTATGATCAATTAGACTAAAATAAATCAGAGGAAAGACAAATACATATACAATTCAATAAATTGATTGTAAGAAATATAAATTGTACATGGCGACAATAATGTTATTTTGATTCGTAAACGAAACTTATAAATAGTTCTACTATCGCAAATATGAACAACAGAAGTTTATTATCGATATTTTTTCTGTCATTGAAATAGTTATTTACAATTTTGCAACACTAAATTCCGACAGGTTGCAGCTCATATTGCTGTAAACATTAAATGATCTTTTTAACAACCGTCAGTACTGTCCACATCAAAGATCTTTTTGTCACTACATTGTTAACTGTTCATTGGGTGATATGTTCAACTGTTAAATTCTCCTTGTACAAATCTTCCCTATGTGGGGGCTTTAGTGAAAGGAAAAGCATCAATGTTTCATACCTGAGCAATGGAAAGGTTAGTCGCCAGAGACATATTCATATAATTGTCAAAATTCGTGATCAGGATCCAGTCTGCATGATGAAAAATAAAGTTACTTTATATACAAGTTCCCTTGTTATAGTCCTTGCTAAAATATATCAATTAAACAATAATAAAAAAAAAGAATAGAGTAAAATCCCATCACGAAATGCCCTTATCGTTTCCTTATTAACATGGTTTAATAAAATTAATAAAATTTCGTTTTTGTTTACAACATTGTTTTTTAAAACTACATTGTAAGGGGAATGAGAATCACTTTGCTGAACAGCGCAAATTCACTATAGGAAACTGAAGCTGAAACGACATCCCTGTTTTCTGTTTTAAAGCAAAGAGGGATAATGTAAATGTGTTAAATGTAGCGTGTACGATATTTGATGGAAGTTTTTTTTTAGCTCTACTGGTCAGAGACCAGAAGAGCTTATGCGATAGTAATGCGTCCGTCGTCCGTCCGTCCGTCTGTCTGTCTGTCTGTCTGTAAACAATTTTTCAAAATGCTACTCCTCCTACAGTTTTGGTCTGATTTCAATATAATTTGGCACACAAGTAGACTACACTAAGATACATAATTCTGTGTATCGGTTTTTGATTTCGATGAACGGTGTTGCCGTGGTTACTAAAAATAGAAATTTCTTTGAAATTCTTTCAAAATGCTACTGCTCCTACAGTTTTAGTCTGATTTCAATATAACTTGGCACACAAGTAGACTACACTAAGATACACAATTCTGTGTATCGGTTTTTGATTTCGATGAACGGTGTTGCCGTGGTTACTAAAAATAGAAATTTCTGTGAAATTCTTTCAAAATGCTTCTCCTTCTACAGTTTTAGTCTGATTTCAATATAACTTGGCACACAAGTAGACTACAATAAGATACATATTTCTGTGTATCAGTTTTTGATTTTGATGAACGGTGTTGCCGTGATTACTAAAAATAGAAATTTCTGTGAAATTCTTTCAAAATGCTACTCCTTCTACAGTTTTAGTCTAATTTCAATATAACTTGGCACACAAGTAGACTACACTAAGATACATAATTCTGCTTATCGGTTTTTGATTTCGGTGAACGGTGTTGCCGTGGTTACTAAAAATAGAAATTTCTGTGAAATTCTTTCAAAATGCTACTCCTTCTACAGTTTTAGTCTGATTTCAATATAACTTGGCACACAAGTAGACTACAATAAGATACATAATTCTCTCTATCAGTTTTTGATTTCGATGAACGGTGTTGCCGTGGTTACTAAAAATAGAAATTTCTGTGAAATTCTTTCAAAATTCTACTCCAAATACAATTTTAGTCTGATTATAATATAAATGTGGCTTGCAAGTAGACTACACTAAGAACATAAAGAGACTTAATCAAGGATCATTATTCTATTTATTGCTGTTGAAAAGTTTCAATTTCCATCTGCTTAAGTACTTTTCTCTTCCTTTGCTATAAGTACAAACCAGTAGAGCTTCAGTCTCGACAGAGACTTCTGGTTTTTTTTAAATTGTGTAGTTTTGATTTTTGCAAATTTCTTTATTTGCTTATGAACATATTTCCATAAAAGTGCAGGATAATTAGCATTGTACTTAAATAAGTGGAAATTCCTTCTCGTCAAAAAGAATACATCACCAAATGTAATACACTTACAGTTAAGTTTGAAATACGAAATGAAACTTACATTGACATCTTTCTCCTGAAAAATTGTTCCTACAGCTGCAGTAATTGTCTATATGGTCCACGACAAATATATTACAATGTCCACCATTGAAGCAAGTCTCATTATACTGGGCACTGCATATTGGCATTTCACAATCTCTTCCAACGAATCCCTGTGGACACTCACAACGTATCGTAGTCCAGTTTGAAGTGGGCTCAGAAATATCAATGCAGGAACCACCATTTTGGCAGGGATTTTCGTTCGAACAACTGAGGTCTTCAAAATGATGAACTCTGCCTACTTCAAAAAGAGGTTCACTGGTTAAATACTGTGAACCAATTAAATACCTTTTTTTAAATCAGTTTTTGCATTACACTGTACATTGTTTTATTTCACAAATTATTTTGATCATTTGATTTTATTGGACTGAACCAAAGTCATTTATTTTGTAAAGGTAATCTAATCCACAGTCAGGAAGAATACCCCTTTAATTTATAATTTAATTCAAAGAGTCTTTCATTTCTACATGCAACAGTTTTTAGCTCACCTGAGCTGAAAGCTCAAGTGAGCTTTTCTGATCACATTTTGTCCGGCGTCCGTCTGTCTGTCCGTCTGTCTGTCTGTCTGTAAACTTTTCACATTTTCGACTTCTTCTCAAGAACCGCTAGGCCAATTTCAAACAAACTTGCCACAAAGCATCCTTGGGTGATGGGGAATCAAGTTTGTTCAAATGAAGGGCCACGCCCTCATTCAAGGGGAGATAATTAAGAATAGCTGAAAATTTAGTGGCATATTTTAAAAATCCTCTTCTCAAGAACCACTGTGCCAGGAAAGATGAAACTTATGGGGAAACATCCTCAGGTAGTGTAGATTCAAGTTTGTTCAAATCATGACCCCCGGGGGTATGGCGGGGCCAAAAAGTCCGACCAAAGTTTTACATAGAAATATGTAGGAAAATTCTTTAAAAATCTTCTTCTCAAGAATGACAAAGCCATAATTCATCATATTTATATGGAAACATGCTCAGATAGTACAGTTTCAAGTTTGTTCAAATCATGACCCCCGGGGGTAGGGCGCGGCCAAAATGGCTGACCAAAGTTTTACATAGAAATATATAGGAACATTCTTTAAAAATCTTCTTCACAAGAATGACAAAGCCATAATACATTATATTTATATGAAAGCATGCTCAGGTAGTGTAGATTCGAATTTGTTCAAATCATGACCCCTAGGGGTAGGGCGGGGCCAAAATGGCCGACCAAAGTTTTACATAAAAATATATAGGAAAATTCTTTAAAAATCTTCTTCTGAAGAATAGCAAAGCCATAATTCATCATATTTAAATGGAAGCATGCTCAGGTAGTGTAGATTCAAGTTTGTTCAAATCATGACACCCCCCCCCCCATGATTAGTCATGGGACTTCTTTTGGATTTAAACTTCACAATAAAAACCATTTTCTACCTTTTCCTAGTCTTAGTGCTCAGGTGAGCGATGTGGCCCATGGGCCTCTTGTCATTTTATTCCTCTCTCTGCGCTTCAGTGTTCTTTGAATTTCTCAGAAAGGTCTTATAAAAAAAGTCTCGAATGTTTACCCCATAAATGTATTTTTAAAAAGCCTGTTTGAAGAATATGAGGTTCATTTAAATCTAACGAATAAAACCAATGTTTATTTAAGTAACACAATGAGTCAAACTTAAGTGCTTCTTCTAAGAGCAATGAAACAGAGAAAGATTTTGAAAATTATGAGTGTAAAGCTTAGATATGAAAATTCAACTGCAAGAAAAGACTGCACAAATTAAACGCCGAAAAAAGGTTGTATCTACCGTTTCATTGTTTCCGTGAATGTCAAGGTCACACAACTCTTATTTTTATCTCAAACTTGTAAAGAACATTCAACTGGGGCATGCAAAAGTGAGAAACATGTTTTAACAACTTTTAAAAAAAAACAACTTTTAAAAAAAACGTATCTAAATTATGGTCTACTTACATCCATTATTGGGTACTTGAAAACATGAAATTATGGGTAACTTTTTCAACTTTTCTGCACGCGCGTTATGGGGCCTACGGAAATTGTTTTTACTTTTATTTTCTCATAAAAATAGACTTCTTACATTCTGAAACCTGTAATTTTGTATAACCTAATTATTTTTTGGAATTAAAGAAAATTTACACGTGTAATGCAAAAATTATATATTTGTCAATTTTCTCCTTTTTGCGTCATGGTCGCTCTTTAACATGATATGAAATTAGGAGTGATTAATGGTGTTTTGCAATGATAGGAATAGTTTTATAAACCATGAACTGTCGAGAAAAAAAGTTTTGCTGAGGTTAACACAACGGTCATGTGACTGTCTCAGCCAATCAGATTCCTTTACTAATGATTACTTATAGGTATTATAATACGGATTGTTTAATTCTTCTCATCAAATCAGCATTTAAAAGTATAATAATAAAATATATCACAAACTTGGTATTTTTGCTTTTTAGGACGTAACTACATCGAATATCTTCATTCATTTTACAGGAAAATCACATTGAAATAAAAATATACACTATTATTATATGATTGAATAATTTCCATCTCTCTGATTGGCTGAGATCCAACTATGTTAGAAAAATATTACGCTGTATTGACCTGCACGTGACGTTCCAGGTCAATACAAGGATTTATTTCCTCTACATTGATCTAAAAATAGATTGGGAAATTCCAAATTGATACAAATTTTTTAAGAAAGCTATTTAAACGACTATGATTTTTATTTTCATGTGAACAAAACATAAGCGAATATATATTTTAGGTGAGGGTGGTAAGAGGGGATGCAGGGACCCCCCCCCCCCCCTCCAACACTTTTACTGAACAACATTTTTTTTTTACTTTTTGGCAGTCAGTTTTCCCTGATAATGCTCCTTCCTTTCAAAATCTATCCTAAAAAAAAGACTGACAATATATATTTCTTTCATGGCAACTAAAATTGATTTTAAAAAACATTTCAAATTGATACGACTGGTAAGGTTTATTCACATTTTAATTCTGCTTCTCTCTTGTATTTGGCTAGGACTTAATAAAAAAAATGCAAACAAGTAATGAGCTGTATCATTTTATCAGTGAATCATATAATAAAACAATTATTGCTGTTTTTTCGGTCAATACAATGATTTAGCCATCTTCGAAGTAAAATATTCACCTCGCCCTTGGGGCTCGGTGAATATTGTACTCCTCAGATGGCTAAATCATTGTATTGACCTCAAAAACCAGCAATAATTGTATAATATTTGAGTGTTATTCGAATCTTTAATTCAGTTCCATAACCTTTTCCAATCATACTTTAAAACAACACTTCAAAAATTAGTGAAGAATAAATTTAGGATTAAAAAATAACTAACCAAAGCTACCATATACAGTAACTGCCAGGAGTGAAAAACCAAGAAAACAGCTGATCAGGACTTTAAACATCGCTTCTGTATCCAAGTCCCCGCAGATGGGTGTAAAGTGACTAGAAGCAGGCTATTAATTTATAAACAGGTGACACCAACGTATTGTGCACTTTTGGTTGAGAAATCGGAGATCATTTTACTGAATAAGGATCATGTTAGATGCACAGATAGCCGTTATTGAAAATTAAATGCTTGCAAGGATAAAAATAAATAAAGTTGTTTTGCCTGCGATGGACTAGGTGACACCTACGTATTGTTTACTTCTTGTTGATATATCAGAGATCATTTTATTGAGTAGTACTTTAAAGGATCATATCAGATTTAAAGATAGCCATAAAAAAGAACCTTGCTAGGATACAAAATGTTTTAAAAGCGATGGACTTATGTGATTATAAGGTTGGATGAGGTTGTAATCACCTTACTAATGATACCGACAAAACAGCTGTATCTCGTGTAATCAGATATTCATTGTACCTTAGAAAGGTAAAATGTACTATGATCAATACTACTTTTGTTTAATTTTAGTCGCCGAGTAGACCCTAAAACACCGAAATGCAAATAAAAAGGTAGGGAATAGGTATACTACTTACTTAGAAGAAAAGGGAACTTAAATATTTCTATAATGTTATTTGTGTAATTATTAAGTGAATTTCTATTCTGAAATCGTTTTCTATTGTTGTCTATTTACTGATGTACATTTGTTGTAGAAAATTTTCTCGTATCTTCTTTGAAATGAAAGTAAAAAGAATAATTTGTGAAATAGTTTTCTGAAATGAAATTATTTTGGGAAGAAATACGCACGCTAACTTTCGATTCCCGTCTACATTTTGCACCCATTCATTTCAATATTAATGGCAATATGGTCATAACATCTTTGGCTAATAAAAAGAACAGTTCAGTTGTAATTGATGAATTATTAAAATACCAGCGCAATATAGAAAATTAACCCTAATTCCATCTCTTGATAAAAAAAGGGGGGGGGTAGACGATATTTTCCATTGAAATATGACTTTTAAGCATCACCATTTTTGAAATAGTCGTGGATATGATTAAATGTTCCTTATATGTATATTCTCTCATATCTAGGCAAATAAATTTAGCAAAAATATATAATTAAAATACATTTCAGTTGTAAATCGCTTTGAAATTGGTCGTTTTTTTTTTGTCTATAAACATGTCTCCCGTGAAACACAAATTTTTAGCAAGAATATGTAAAAAATAACAGTCCATATTACCTGTTAAAAGGATTTTAATTTTGCCGTGGGATGTTTTAAAATATTTTCCATTGATTTGTATAGAAAAAAAAGATTGTTTTTTTTTCTAAATCCGCCGAAACATGGCTGAAAAATTGCCGAATCGGCGTTAGACAATATTCAATCAATCTACATTTTAAAGTTATCCCTCTGTTTTCTCTAATAAGTTATGTTTTTAAAAAATTCATATCATTATATATATATATATATATATATAAATATTAACTGAAAAAAAAGTGAGCAAGCTCACATACCCCATGCTCCCCTAAATTTTAAAGCGCTGAAAATCCTGGAAAATATAAAGGTATCGGAATTTATCTACAGATTGTTTCCTAAATATCAGCAAAGTTAATCTCTATATTCAAGGGATGGCCAACAATCTAAGTTTTTAGTGCGGAAATTCCCGGGAAAAATTGAAATCGGACTTTTCTGGTAATATGCACTCCTGTTAAGAGAGTGAACTTGTTTATATGTATTTAATACTATTTTCAGTGAATAAAATTACACTCAGAAGTACCATTATACAATAAGTCATTTGTGTAACGATCGATTGTTCTGAACTTTTCTCTGTACCAACAATTTAGCAGTTTATAATATAAATGCATAATTCATCATCGCAATTTTTGAAATAAGAAATTCAAACAGAATAACTGATTGTTGTCTCTTCCTGGAGGGCATAAAAACATAAACTTCCTTATTAAATGCCTGATACCAATTATATGCAAAAGATGAAAAATAAGCTAGATGTTTAGGATCAATATAAAACGTGTGAAATATTCATTATAATGCGAATATGGTAGTGTAGAGCAACGAAACCTTCAAACAAAGCAGCAAATACCGCAACATCCGTTCTAAGCATTCCCTACGGGGTACTTGGTGCTATTTATTTTAAAACTATTACAATAACTAAACGATAGAGTTTAGGTAGAATATTTTAATTGAACACGCATCAGTGATAGAAAGGAAATGTCCGTTTATTAGCTCTTCTGAGCCAAAGGCTCAAAGAGCTAATGCTATGGCCATTTGTGCGGTGTGCGTTAACTTTTTAGAATATAAGCCATACATTGTAACTCAAGAACCCCTTGGCCAATCAGTGTCAAATTTGTCACAGAGTATCCTTGGTCCAAGGGCTACCATTTGTACTAAAAAAAGGGTGGGGACCCTTAAACAAGGGGAGATAATCAGGAAAACAAAACCAAAAGTACTGGTTGCTATAAAATCTTCTCCAGAACCACCAGGCAGATTTTCACCAAACTTACATACAAGGATCAGGATATGTTGAAGATTAAAAATTGTTCTAGGCATGACCCTCGGGCAAAGGGCGTGGTCTCAAGGTCACTTCAAAGTTTACAATTAATTAATAAAAACGTTTATATTTTGCTTACTATAAGGACTTGGATCATCAAATTTTGTAAGTTGATGCATCTTAGGATTTCACATCATGTTAACTCAAAAGTAGGTCACGGTGACCTACTTTTTTAATTTTGCAGGCATTTGTTTTCAAATCGATTTGAAGGCATATTTTGGACACTTAAGGCCTATGATCATCAAACTTTGTCAGTTGATGCATCTTGGGTCCTTAAACAATGTCAACTTAAAAGTAGGTCACTGTGAAATACTTTTTTGAAGTTTAAGACTTATCCTTTTTAAAACATTTAATCCCATTATTTCAGACATTGAGAGAGTTAGAATCATCAAATCTTATAAGTTGCTGCATCTTTGGACCTTAAAACTTATTTATGAAAAAGTAGGTCACTGTGACCTACTTTTAGAATTTTGCAGGCATTTGTTTTCAAATTGTTTAAAAGGCAAATTTTAATTACCTTTAGACCTACGATCATCAAACTTGGTCAGCAGATGCATCTTGGGACTCTGAAAAATGTTGACCAAAAAGTAGGTCGCGATGACCTACTTTCAACATTTTATGGCTATATTTAAGTATCTTAGATATTTATTGGCTTAGAATCATCAAACTTTGTCAATTGATGCATCTTGGGTTTTCAGAGAGTGACGACCTAAAAGTAGGTCACGGTGACCTACTTTCAACATTTTATGGCTACATTTAAGTATCTTAGGTATTTATTGGCTTAGAATCATCAAACTTTGTCAGTTGATGCATCTTGGTTTTTCGTAGAGTGACGACCAAAAAGTAGATCATGGTGACCTAATTTCGACAATTTATGGCTATATTTTAGTATCATAGGTATTTATTGGCTTAGAATCAACAAACTTTGTCAGTTGATGCATTTTGGGTTTTCGCAGAGTGACGACCAAAAAGTAGGTCACGGTGACCTACTTTCAACATTTTAGGGCTATATTCAAGTATCTCTGGTACTTATTGGCTAAGAATCATCAAACTTTGTCAGTTGATGCATCTTGGGTTTTCAGAGAATGTTGACCAAAAAGAAGGTCACGATGACCTACTTTTGACATTTTATGGCTACATGTATATTGAAGTATCTCCGATATCGGTTTAGAATCATCAAACTTTGTCTGTTAATGCCTCTTGGCTTTTCGGAGAATGTTGACCAAAAAATAGGTCACGGTGACCTACTTTTGAATATCTCAGGTTCTTATTGGCTTAGAATCATAAAACTTTGTCAGTTAATGTATCTTGGGTTTTAGAAAATCATCTACTAAAAATTAGGTCACATTGACCTACTTTGACATTAAATGGCTACATTTAAGTATCTTAGGTATTTATTGGCTTAGAATCATCAAACTTTGTCAGTTGATGCATTTTGAGTTTTCTGAGAATGCAAAAAGAAGGTCAAGGTGACCTACTTTTGAATATTTTGAATACTTATTGGCTTAGAATCTTCAATCTTAGTTTGTCTATTAATGCATCTTGATTCCTCAGAAATCTTCAATCTTAAAGTAGGTCACTGTGACCTACTCAAGGTTTTTTTTATAGCATTATTAAAATATTTTCAGTCCTAATTGGTTAAGAATCATCAAACTTTGTCAGTTGATGCAACTTGGGTCTAAGGATACTTAGGGTTAGAGGCTTCAAATACAAGTGATAGGTTGTACAGTTTATCAGAAGAGCGATTCAAGGCCCTTGGGCCTCTTGTTGTCTTTCTTATTAAATTCTGTAATTATGTGCCCATTTACTTTATTTTTTGTGCACCATGCTACATGCGTGAAATCTAACACCAAAGATTTGTAATATTAATCAAAGGTCAGTGATATATTACGTTTGAAAGCTCTTCTTTTAATTTTTTCTTTCCATTACTTATTATGATCCATATTCTCAAATATAATAGAAAGAGTTTGGATATGCTGTAAAAAGTATACATATTTTTTTTCTCACTTATTTTTTTTTAATCTACACACATGACTTTATTAAAAACGGAGTCCTTTTTCATTATCTTATGCATTCTGTCTCGTCCGTCGTCGTGTGTTAATATTAAACATTTCAAGCTACTTCTCTGGAACTATGAATATAATTTCAAGCAGTTTTGGCATATAGCATTAGTGGGTCAGGGGGTATAAATATTGTGAAATTTAAAACATCCCCAGCGGGACTTCTATGAATCTTTTTGTCCCCCGCTTTTGCGAAAGCGAGGGGACATTAAATCTCATTCGTCTGTCCGTCTGTCCGTCACAAAAACTTTAACCTTGCCCATAACTTTTGATTTAGTAGAGCTATGACTTTCATATTTCACATGTGTATTCCTTGTGACCAGACCTTTATTTGGGTACCGCCAAATTTGACCTTTTGACCTTGACCTTGGAGTTTGACCCACTTTTACACAGAAATTTCAAACTTTTAC